TTGAGTTATCGAGTTATACATTCACACAGACATCATCGCGAAAATGGTCAAAACGGATCCAGGGGGGCCCGAAAACGTAAAAATAGTAATGCCATTTAAAAAACTGTCGATCACGTCATAATTAGGGCGCCCAGATTATCAAAATAAATAATCGATTATTTTTTATTGATCGATCATTCAATTAATCGATTATTTTGCCCACCCTAGTCACAAAAGACATGCACACCAAAATACCCACATCTCTAGACATGTTTACAAATTCCCCGACCTTTATCATTTGATTAATCATTTGGCATTATATAATTCATTAATTGAATTCCTCAATATGATAAGTCATTATTTCTAATTAAAAAAATAATCCGTACTATCGAGCAGTTTTCATTTTTTTCTTGTATTGTCTCACGCTGAATATTTCGTTCTGAAGCACACAAAAATGCTTCTGGATTTTAGTTGTTTTACCTTTGACATCATGCCTCAACATAAATATACATTTTTAACTTCTGATGATGTGATGGCTTAAAGCTGAAAGTACTCTGACAATCACACAGCACCATTTAACACTTTTTAAGTTTTATCTGTAATGCTTTAAAATTATTCAATAAACTTCACTCTGAAATACGCGAATTAAATTACAATACATTAAAAAATAAAATAAAAAAACATACTACTCAATCAACCTATGTACTCTTTACAGAAATTCTACGATGCTGATTTGTCGTTCAATAACTAATTAAACTACTATGTATTTTGTATATAATTTTGAATCTTTTAATTGTCTGTATTTTAATTTAAATTATATTTCTCTTTTGTATGAAAATGCTAAAAAACTAGAAATGTTTTTAATAAGCAAATAAAGAATATTTATTTAATTAATAGTGGCGTTCTATTTCGGGCACGGTGGTGTAGCGGTCTATCGCGCTTATATTCATTTATAGGCAAGTTTATGAGTCTGAGACTGCTGGGTTTCGAATCCCAGACCAGACCATGTGGATTTTTAATTAAATTGCATGGTTCGGTTTAGGATTTGATGTGTGGCGTATTAATAGAAATTCAATTTCTGTTGATATGACATGCAGATTAAAAAAATTCGCCATACATTACCGTCTCGATGATGGTGGGTGAGGTTTTCCGGGTTTTCCTCACCTGTAAGTCAAATGGCACCATCAATCATCTTTAAGTCGCCCCGGAGCGCCACGGCAAATAATAATAATAGCCGTCCCTTTCCCCGGACAAGCTCAGCTTTTGGGGTTAAAATTCACTCGTAAGGGGGTGAATTAGGGAGAGTAATATTATTATTATTATTATTATTTGTGGACTGAATTAATTCAGTAAATAAATTTTCTTATTTAGTACCCAGGGTTGATACTTTTTTTAACTGTGTATATAAGTCATTAAAATAAACAACTTTTTCCAAAAAATTCACAAATAAAAAACATTAAAATGTATCCAATAAGGTTTTGTAAATAATTGTACAAAGTTTTCACAATTTACTGAGGTGTTGAAACCCGAGAATAACGATCAAGGAGAAGTGACAGCTTGGTGTTTTTAGTGTACCGTTTTGTAACGCGCATGTGCGAAAATAAGTTGTGTATCACTCAAAATGATGTTATCTGTCAAAGTCAGTCCAAGTTGTGTTTAGTACGTGAGCAATGTTAAGTGATATTTTTTGGTGTTTGTTTTGTGTATTAAAGATGAAGATTTTTACACACTTACTAGGAAACTAAGAATTTTATCACATGCATAAATATTAAGTATAATGATTTAATCATTTTTGACATTTTATTTTTCATATGTAGGTATTGTATTTTGTGAAATATATGTTTTCTTCTTTTAAATAAATTTAATAAACAATGAACTGGAGATTTTGTTTATTTTATTTTGAAATTATATTTAAAAAAATATAATAAATCCGCGTGTTTCAATTAGGATTGGTCAAAATAGGCGAAATGCCTTTATTATGGCTAAATTGTAAGGTACAATTATGTCAATATGAAGATATTTTGCCCATTCATATTTACATTTATTGAATGAATCATACTGGAGTTGATTTTGGAAATATTGGTGCATACTTAAATAAGTACTATTTCAAAAAATTCGTCTATGCCCAGACAGCACACATAGTTCAATGTACGTCCACTTTAGATCTATTTGAGGGTCAGGACGTCCATATCCGGGCATCCAGTGTACGTCCGTTTATGCTAATTAAATTGACAGCTGAATATTGATACCCAGAGACGTCTGTTTTTGGACTTAATTTTAAGTTTAGTAGTATTTTGACGTCCAGTGGACGTCCATCTTAGGTCATTATTTATTAAGCCTACCAGATAATACTCATCTGAAATATATACTTCTTTTTTTTAATCATTAAAAATTGACAAATTAAATCTATTGCATTTCATTCTATCAGCGGAAGTTTGAAATCTTATTTAATTATAACTGTATCTAGTAAAAAGTTTTCAAGTGGTTCCTTGGTCGAGCTCGTCTAGCGATTGAAAGGGTAAAATGATAATGGATGTGTCGTGAGTTCGATGCCTGCTCAGGACAAGCGATTTTTAATAAAAATAAATAAATGGTGTATAGCGGTTTGCGAAAATAATAAACAAATTATTAATAATATAAAATAGTGTGTGGTAAGTTGCGGTTCTGTAAAAAAAGTGGGGATGTGAATGGAAATATAATCCTGGACGTTTTTTGAATGTTCAGTATTCGACGTCCAAATATATTCCAGAATTGAACGTCCTCTGAATGGTCAAAAGTGTGCCATTTGTATACTTCACTGGACGTCTATTGGATGTCGGAAGTCCAGAAAAAACTCATTCTTGGACGTCTAGACATCCAAAATTGTATAAGTATCGAATGGACGTCCAATGGACATATTTGTATTGTCTGGGTGATAGCCAGGCCAGGTATTTAACTCTAAATACATAAACCTTAAATGACATCTGGCTTAACTTGGCGAGAAAACACTTGTTTATACAGAAATGAGTGATAAACTTGAAAGTCCTTTTAATATAATATAAATCCAGAAATTCTAAAATTATGTAAATACTTTTTAAACCTAAAAGTTTTTGAAAATATAAGCACATTGCAAATATTTAGTTAAATATTTCAAACTTAATGTCTTTTTAATTGTTACCTAAATTTTTACTTAAGGAAAAGGTAATTTTATTTAAATATTGGGCTTTTATTACATTTTTAACAATAAATAAACCAAATATTGAACAAATTTTATAGATAAATTATAAAATAATAAACGTCTTTTACTTTTATAATAAATAATTACATAATGAATTATATTTTGGTGCCGAAATTTCACCGATGCTATAAACCCAGCTACTTCAATGTAATTAAATCAGATTACAACATTTGCGCATGGACTATAACAATGATTTCAGATAATTTGCCAAACTATTTCGCTCAGTGTAGAAAATAAGCATGTTTTCTCAGCGTGCTAAGTTGTGTATCAATCAAAGTCATGCTGTGAAAAAGGTACATCCGATATCAAAGGCACCGACAGCTACTGTCGCTTCTCCTTGATCGTTATTCTCGGGTTGAAACATGGTAAACTGTTCACTGTTCATTATGTACAACACTGATTAAGCATTTTGAAGTCACTAGCTATGAATAAGCAACATATTCTCAAGTTCATTGTTTTCATGCAGTGTGTTTCATAAAGTTGGATCCATATGGGATTTTTTTTAATAATACGATTGGAAACAAACGTAGGGCATTTACTTCTGCTTTTTTTAAAACTTTAAATATCTCATATTAAAGTTGGGTTAGGCACTGCATTAGTTATCTGTCAAATTGGGTATTTTTTGGAAAAAATTAAAAAAAAAATTAAACATGATTTTGAAAGAAAACTGATGTCAGTAGCCAACTTTACTGAACAGTGAACACTCGAGTAAATTACATTGGCCGGTAAGGGTGTGATTCATGATAAAAACCTAACAAAAAAGTATAAAGATAAAAACGTAAATATTTAGCCTAACTTTCGATACACAAATCCTGGCCCTGATTTAATTTTTTTAATTATCTTTTCATTTTTAAGTTTTTTTAAGGTTATTTGAAAAAGATGTTTAGTTTAATGATTTCTATACACAGTTAAAAAAGTATCAATTTAGAATTAACCCTGTGTATTGTGTTAATTTTGTATAGGGTTATTTTTTTAATTATTCTTATCAATATTTTATTAAATGGTTTCAATCTTCGGTGCATTAATATTATGAAAATTTCAGTTAACGATTCCTCCAAAAGAGAGGTATGGTCCAAATATGAAATTCTCAAGTTTCTCAAAGAATTCCAAAAATACAGAAGCCATCAGCCGCATTTCAAATACGATAAACAACATTGGCATGTTCTTTCGAAAAAACTGGAAGATGAAGGAATATTTAAAAGTCCCAAAAAGTTGCACGTAAAGTGGAAGAACTTGTACCAGTCGTACAAATTGATTAACCTTAAAAATAGGGCTCCCGTCAAATTTGAATTTTTTGATGAAATTAAAAGCTTGATCGAGGGAGAAGAGTTACCAGAGCCTGAATTAGGTAACGTTTAATTTAAAAGGTAGATTAAGCCTTTAAGTTTTCTTGAAGAAGTTCTCTTCATTTATATTTCAAATATTTTGTAAATATTTTTTCAACGTCCACATATACAGGGTGTTCCTTAATGATATATTTAAAGGTGCGAATCTACATGAAAAATATATATAATATAATATTATACTATTTGGTATTGCTATAATGGTGAAAGTTAGGACAATAAATATAAAATAAAATACAGGGTAGAGTGTCCCATTAAAAAAAACCTAAATTTGATATGAACCAGTTTCTGTATAATTGAAATAATTTTTAAATTGTTGCATATTTTGATATACATTATACTATTAAAACAGATTTTAAAAAATGAAATAGATTTGGCTCAAATTTCGTCTTTGTGCGATACGGCCATCATATCCACTCTTGTTGCACAAACTACTATTATCAATCGCCTAATATTTCTAGCTGAAACACCTAACGAACGGGATCTCGATACAAGTTACACCTCTTGGTCGGGCGAAGAAACTTTAAGATTGATCGAGGTTTACAAAAAAAATAAATCTATGTTTAACGAAATACCAAAGAAAATGGCTTGGAGAATCGTGTCGTCGGATCTTCATGGTGAAGGAATAAAAAAAGACGCCGACAAATGCGAAAACAAGTGGAAGAATCTAATCCGAAGTTACAAGAGGAATAAAACTTATAATAACAATTCTAGGTTTTATTTTTTTAACGAAATGAAAGAGATTTTAGAAGAAGATGAGAGGTATTTAGACCAGTCTGCGTCGCAAGTCGTTAAAGAAGAAACGAAAGAGGAATATGAAGAAGCTCAGGAGGGGGAAGAGGAGGAGGAGGAAATGGATGCACGGGAGATTGAAAGTGATGAAGGTAAATATTTATTAAACATTATTATTAATAAATACGTCTTTTTTCAGTTTTCAAATATAATATCTACGGGTTTATCTCTTCTCGTTTTCGTTAGTATTTCTTCGGGCCACTAAAGCCCAGAGGTGTCCTGCTCACTCACGAGATGGATGAGTTGTTTATCTTTGAGTAGACCTGTTACGAACGTATGTATTCGTTATCTAGTAACGGGTAGTCCATGAAACTCGGAAGTAACGAATCGTTACTTCAAAATATGTTTCATTATTCGCATAATTTTATATCCGTATATCTAAACACATACCACATATTATACCTTAAACGTACTTACGGTGCTAGACTACTCTCGGCACTCGAGTCGGTTCTCGGTACTTGTTCGTTGGGTTTCTATTTTAGTTTATTGCCGTCCTGTTTTTGTTATGATTTATGTGATTGTTTTGTTCCTAATAAAAATAAATAATTGTTCTTATTTGTTATGTTATAATAATTTTACAAAATATGGTGCCTTCTTTATGAAGTATTTCTACATTTGAAATATTTCAATACGATACCAGGGTAATCAGTAATCATGCAGTATGTTGCGAATGCGTCAATACCATCATTTCATTATTTATAATAAAAATTAATTAAAGACAAGATTAAAGACAAGGCAGGTGTGTTTTAAACATTTTTAACTGTAACTAACTTCCGTCTATAAAAAGTATAAAATGACGAATATTTCTTTAAAAAATTGACGGCGCATGCGAAATCTATTCGGTACTGATACTAGAAATAAAATAATCTTTGAAATAATATGTTAAGTAAAGAAAGTAATGAATACATTAATTAGGTATGTTCCAACAACGATCAGAAACCAGTCACTGAAACCAGGATTCTGCGCAGTAGATAGTTTATGATCGATGTTGGAACAGACCTATAGTAACGAATAGTCCGACCATGAGTACAGAATTGATATGGGTATAAATTTAGTCGTTACTTCCACAGCTCTATCTTTGAGATTTGGATGTGACCCCCTTATCAAAAAATGTGCCACACATATTTGGCTTGTTCTGTCAAGAGATAGTAATTGACTCTAGTATTTAGTTTTGTTTTGTCTTAGTTGTGTGCTCGTCTCCCCGAAAAAGCACAAAAAAACAGGGTTGTCCTTGTTTGTGTTTAGGTTGGTTGCGATAGTGTGTGGAGTATATCTGAGAACTGGACTTCTGACTAGTTGAGCCAATCGTTCAATCAGGGAACAGCATTCAAGAATTATGTCTCCTTTTTTTATTTTACTTTAAAAATCTTTATTAAAAATATGTACATCTATAAAAACACACAATATTTAAGTGAAGAGATTTTCTTCACACCTCCTAGGACATCCTGGGCGGCTATTGGCTGTTGTTCTGCCGTTATGTTTGTCATTTTAAAGTTAATGAGTCGTCTCCTTACCAGGTTGGTATTATTGGACTATTATTGTTGATTAAGCTAAGAGCGGTGAATGTTAAGGGTGAAAGTTTTGTCTGAATTTAATTATGTCTGGTTTCTTTGAAAAAACAGGGTTTTAACGATGTGCGTTTGTATTTTGTAGATTGTGTAGTATGTATGCACTACTCACGAACTGGACACTGATTGGCTGCCCATCGAATCGAAAATAGCCAATAGTAGTCACGCCCACCACCGTTCAGTATTCGCCGACTTAGGTTAGTTACCCATGTCGTTTTGAGCAGTGCATTTTAGTAACTTAACATGCAAAGCGTTTGTTTGCTTTATTTTTGTTTTTAACGTCTATAAATGGAAAGTCCTTCGTGGAGCCAGATATGCTTTCTGTTTGCACTGTTTCCGAAGTTAATGTTGAATATGTCTTCCTTTAGTTGACTTGGATCCCCTCCACCACTCAGTCATCCGTCCGACCAGTATGTATTTTTACCATCGGCTTGAGTTCTTACGTCATTATGTATGGTGCTACGATGGAGTCTGGGTCGACGCCTGTTTCGTTTACGTGATTATTGACGATGTTTGTATATTTGAAGTTGCCTGTGGAGACATCCATACTTCCTATTGTCACTATTTCCTGAATTTCCGTTATGTCTTTCTTCACGTACTTATAACATAAATACAATCGTTATCCTTATTGTATCTAAATATGTTACGGTAATTTATTAATTTTAAATTAATTGGACTCACTGTTTTTTATTGTGTACCACACTTTTTCCTATCAATCTAAATTTTATTTATCTTGTATTTAATTTTCAACAACCTCGTTTAATTTCTTTTTTGGTTTGTATCTCTTCTGTAGACCTTACTATTTCTTTGTCATGTCCTGTCGGCACTAAACGTCCAAACCTCCATTCACTTTCTGACTGAATATGTAGCACTCCAGAATCCAAGGGCACTATCTAGGAGCCTATCAAATAGAAGATGGAGATTTACCTAACTTGAAGCCACTCCAAATCCTATACTTTCTTGAGAAGATAGGATTGGAAGGGTCGTTACAGGCATCGTGACATTTCCTTGTTGCATTAGCGACAGAAGGGGACACAATATAAAGGTCGTAGTGTATTAACACCTCATTCCCAACATAACATACTAAACGTCAAAACCATCTTAGTGGTCGGTTATCGTTTCCAATTCTAGTTCTTCTCTTATTATAATACCATCTGTTTCTATGTAAGGTTGGCTGCTCTACATCACTTAAACCTTAATAGGCCCGTGGGGCATCCTCAAGTGGCATAAAGGACCTACCTCTCAAAAAACCTTTTGATAAGTCGGTGAAAGGAGTCCAGGTGGAGTATGATAAGTTTTTAAAATAATTTTATGGAAGACACTGTCAAATGCCTTGGAGAAGTCATACAATGTAATTCCCATGTAATATCTCCATTCCAGACCCTCAACTATCCGTTCCACACTATTCAGCTCTGTATTTACCACCTCCAGTAATTGTAAATGGGGTTGAAAATTGTAATAATCTCCATCAACTTATATTTATCCAGCAAGATGACTAATTTTCAAATAAATATCATTAATGACAAGAATATCGAGGTAAATGTCCCGGATGGAAAATGTTTCAAAGCCCTCAAGAAGGCATTAAGTAACGAAACATTTTTTTATATACATTCATTGCTTACGAAGATACTGTAAAATGAAAATTTTACACTTTTTCTTAATTTTTTTCGTTACGGTCTATTTTAGAGAAATCCCGCATAGAATAAAAACTATAGAGAATGATATCGCAAACAACTTTTATTTGAAGAATTTTTTCCAATCTCAAATAACGGACATTCCTAAAGTAAAAAAACGACCCACTATAAAATACCCCCTAGATGCTCCGAATATGCCCAAAATCTAATCAACTCATTAGAGGATAGATCAAAGCTTAATTTTAAAATTTAGTGTTTTTCTGTTTATCCGTTTTTGAGTTATCTTAAATTCGAATTTTGAACTTTTCCACAAATTTCTGGAATACGGTTAGGGAAATCGTGTTTAGGATAAAAATGATAGAGAATGACATCAAAAACAACTTTTATTTTAAAAATTTTCTTCTTTAAGCTTAAATAACATCTTAAAGTATAAAAACAACTACCTATAAAGTATCACCCAGATGTTCCGACTATGCCTATAATCTGATTCTTATTAGAGGATAGATTAAAGCTTAAGTTTAAAATTTAGTTTTTTTTCTCTTTATCCGTTTTTGAGTTATTTTCAAACTTTTAATTTTGCACTTTTCCTCAAATTTTAAAATTTCTCGAATATCGTCCATTTTAGGGAAATCACGCATAGTACGAAAATTATAGAAAATACTATCACAAGCAACTTTTGTTTAACAAATTTTCTTCTCCAATCGTAAATAACGGAGATATTTCTTAGAGTAAAAAAATTACACCCTATAAAGTACCCACCAAATTTCTTCTCCAAAAAGAAAACTATCTCATTTCTATAACATTTTTTGGGACACATTGCTCGAATATCACGTCGCAATATATTATACAATGTGTCCCAAAAACTTTTCTTTTTCTTGTCTTTGTCATGTTTTAGGACACACTGTATAATAGATTACGACGTATCTGAACATACTTTGTTGTTAACGACGTGCTCGAAGAGCACAGGAGCACGCCGCAATCAATTATACAGCGTGTCCCAAAAAATGTTATATACATGAGAAACAGTTTTTGTTAACAAAAATAATTTTTTTTATGAAAGTTTTTTTTATTAAATAAAATGTTTATAAATATACCGCCAATGAGTTGCCTAAGAAAATACGGTCAATACTATTTATTTTCTTAAAGTAAAAAAACAACACCCTGTAAAGTATTCCCCAAATGCATTGACCATGCCCAAAATTTAATGAGCTCACCGCAGGTGGTATTAAAGCTTTGAGTTATCTTCAAAGTTTGAAACTTGCACTTTTCCTCAAATATATCTTGAGTACGGTCCATTTTAGGAAAATAATGTATAGAACCAAAATTACAGAGAATTACATCACCAGCAACTTTTATCATGATTCCAATACTTTGCTTATCTGTATACAGAAAGGAGAGTAAAAAATGGCTGTGACCGTATGTTTCTTAGACAACCCATTTGCGGTATATTTATAAACATTTTTATTTAATAAAAAAAATAATTTATGAACAGATAAGTGAAGGTCGACCTTACTTTGGATCCTGTACTATCATGTGTATAAAAATTTTTAGGGCACATTGTATAATTAATTGCGACGTGCTCGAAGAACACGTCGTTAACAACAAAACCTTGCTGTTTAGAAGTGAAACATTTTAAATGATTAAATTTTTGTAAAGACCTCCCAAAGACAAATCTCTAAAAATTAAAACGTTATTGATTTTATTAATTATTATTTTTCCCACAGACATGGACAGTGTCGAAGAAATCACGATCGATACCAACGCAGAACACAATTATTCCTGGTCTACAGACGAAATCACACTATTAATCACCTCTTACGATCAGAACAGGCTGAACAAAAAAAACTCGGACGCCTCTCGTTGGAAACTAGTATCCGAAGACATGGAACTAAACAATTTCGAAAGAAACCCCGAAGAATGCAAGAAAATGTGCGAGGCTTTGCTAGAAGAATACGAAAAGCATAAAAACAGTGGAACGGAAAATAATTTTCCGTTTTTTAAAGATATAGAAAAGATTTTGCGTAAGGAAAAATTAGAAGTCGTTAAGCATCACGATTCGTGCAAGTGTTTCGAAAAGAGAGCGATGGATAAGGAAAGGAGGCATGCAGAGAGAATGCAATGTTTGAAACGGAAACTGGATATAGAAGATAGAAAAGTTACGGCTTTCGAGAAGTATGTGCAACACTTGACTGAAACGTCAGCTTCATCTTTGCAATGGTGATTTTTATAAATTTTATTTTAATTATATTTTGATTAGTTTTTAAAAATACACTTCTCCATGGTTTTTTCTTTCGATCTTTTGGTTGTTTTAAAGTTGTATACAAATGAAAAAATCTGATCTGTCCAACAAATGACCCCTGTAAATCACGTCGGAATGTATTATACAATGTATTATACACATAAAAAAGTGTCTTACATTTCATTAAAAAAATGATACTTGATAAAATGTTTTGCATCACATGGAAATCAAGCGTAAAATATTTAAAATTAAAAAATTCCCACACTTTAGCATTGGTTGCGAATTATTTTTTAATAAATAAAGATTTTATTATGGCAAGTTATCGGCCTTTAAACGTATGGACGTTACTTTAATTAGAGGCCTTTTGTTGGGTGTCTGTCATTGATAAGTCGACCTTTTGTCACAACGGGCAGCAGAAGGTAAACAGGTAAAAAGCCATGAACCGCCCGTAGAATAAATAAAACTTTCAAAAGGGCCATAAGGATTTTACAGTTACATTTGGGAAACTGTTAAAAAGCTGTCAACAGCCCATCAAATAATTACCCAACAAACATTTTGTGTAGGGGAATAAAAGGGCCAATAACTGTTACCCTCCAATAATGATGGTCATTTAACTTTTACGATAAAAAGGCCGGCATATATAGGTCACTACTGCCGACAGTCGGGCCGAAGTCACTTTACCATCAAATCCAGTTAATAGGCCTTTATATTACTTTTAATGTCTATGTTGCAGGGATCCGCTAACTTGCTGTGAGGATTCGCTATATGATTCTTAATTTTATAGCAGAAAATTGCAAAAAATGGAATGTGTTTTTTTACTGACTTTATTTTTTTGTAGCTAAGGTAAACAAGTAGTACAGGATGATAAAAATTTACAAAAATTAAAGAACAAATATTAACTATAACCATTGTATTTAGATCAACTAGTAGAACAATACCAATGCAAATTATCTTGGAGGATAATGGACAGTATCAGTAGATGGCAGCAAGCTCAGTGGTGTCCAAGTCATGTCTTTGATAATTTTGTCGTATTCTACCGAGCCATCAAACGGTTGTCGAAACTGAATAACAAACGTAATTTCTCTATTTACTAATAGATGGACTGATAGTCGATTCAGAATATTTGTTTTAAAAATGAGATGAACGAATTTAATTATACTTGATGAACATTTATTTACGATTTATTTAGAGAATATAAACAATAATAATTTAAATTTGGCAATCTACCCAAATGAATTTAAAAATTAATAAAACTTTATGTATATAGAATTCTATACTCAATGATCGAGGAAGCGCTAGCGCTCAGGCCATTTTGATGAAGTTCTGTACTTGTTCTAACAGATGTCGCGTCAGAATTGCCTCCAATAAAACGTCTATAAGGTTGTTCTACTATCTTATCTAAATACAATGCTATAACTAATTAAAGGATAATGAGTACGCCACAGTCTAGAAATAAACATATTTACAAATAATGGCCCTATTGATGGGCCAACGGGAAATTGCAGGCCTTCTACCATATTAATACTGTCTGCTCAATAAAGGCCATGCGCTAGGCACATGACCGGACAGAGGCGATTCGATAGTGCCTCTTTGACCAGTAGTACCGTTTGAACTATATTTTCTAATTCAAAACGGAAGGCATACGAATATAATAATAATAATCATATTTCAAAAGTATGTAGCAATAACATAAAACGAAATAGGGTCATAAAAAAAACTACTAGCTATAGTACCTATATACATTACAAGAAATTACATGGCATGCAAAAAGTATTATCACTGCTAGAATTCGCTTAATGTGTAAGATTCTAAATCAATCAAAAATTTAAATAATTTAGTTTTTAGTTCCTTTGTTTGGTCTATAACTTTCAAGTACAAGGGAAGATGTTATAGATTTTTATGCACATATAATATGCTCCATTTTGACTCATTGTTAATCTATGACATGGATATGTATAATTTATTGATTTTGTAGGATATGTACATTGTGGCTGGTTTGTATTAAACAGAGCCCTATTTTTATTAAAAAATAAAACTGTTTCTTGTATATATAATGCTGTTGTCAAAATTTTATGTTTTTTAAATTTACCCCTACAAGAATCCCTAAATCCCATACCAAGTATCCTTAGTGCTCGTTTTTGACAAATAAAGAATTTTTCTATGTCACTACAATTTCCAAACAATACAATTCCATATCTAATGTGGCTTTCAATGATGGAATGAAAAATCATTTTTAGTGTTGAGAAATTAATATATTTTGTAATGACGTTTAATGTAAGTCAATTTTGAAATTTTTGTTTGACGTATTCTATTTGTTGTGACCATGACAGGGATCTATCCAGCATCATTCCTAGAAATTTTACACTTTCTTATGTTCTTACACCTGTGTCACATCAATACGTGGTTCCAATCTAGACCTATTTGTACTAAATAATACAAGGTTTGTTTTGGCTTTATTAATAACTAATTTATTTTTTTTAAACCATTCAACGCCACTTTGAAATATCTCATCTGATTTTTGTTCAAAGTTAAATAAATTGTCACCTTTAACCAAAAAATTTGTGTCATCTGCAAATGTTGTTATTGAACACCAGTTTCGGCGCTCCATTAGAGTAGAAATAGTATTGGTCCTAATACACTTTCTTGGTGTATTCCTCCACTTAATGTAACACTATCCGATATTACTTGATTGTTTAATTTTTTGTTGCCTACTTGAAAGGTAAGATTCAATCCAAAGTAAATATAGAAGATCTCAGACATTTTATTTAATTCAGCTATATAATAATAGAGAAAAAATGTCTTCCATAAAAAGTATATTCATAAAATATTTTAACTTAACATGTAAAAGTAAGAAATTACAATTAATAGTGAATACCATACCAGCAATGAGACTGGCTGCATGACCACTTGTTGAGTATGTAGCAAGCGATCATCGGTGTCTCCATCTATGTACTCAGGATGGAGCCCTCCTGGACTGTTGGGGTTGGGTATGCGGCAGTTAAAATCCTTTTGTCTTTTACCAAGGCCAAAAGTAGGCTTTTATCTTTTAATCCTCGCATCCATTTTCCCGTCAATTACGAAAGGCCAACAATATCCCGACAATTCATTGTTTGTTTGGTAAAGTTAAAAGGCAATTAATTACAAATTTCAAACAGGTCATAACGATTTTACAGTTACATGTGGAAAACAGTTGAAAAGCCGTTCATAGCCCATCGAATAATTAAAGTTAAAAGACAAGTAATTACAAATTTCACACGCTCCATAACAATTTTACAGTTGCACGAAGGGAAACAGTTAAAAAACCATCAACAGCCCATTGTTTATGAAAGTTAAAAGGCAGGTAATTACAAATTTCAACTGGGCCATAACGATTTTACAGTTGTATGTGGGAAACGGTTAAAAAGCCATCAACGGCCCATCAAAAAATTTAAGTTAAAGGGCAGTTAGTTGCAAATTTCAAACGGGCCATAACGATTTTGCCATTACAGGTTATTTTACCATCACATTTGTTAAAGGTCAAACAACTTGCCATAACTTCTATGTTTGGTGGGTATTTTGCTCTATATTGAAATTTAAAAATATTTGTTTATTTTAATTTTCCCTGTATATCACCTATAATTTGCAAAATTTAATGTTTGATTATGGATTCTTAGGTGATGCAGAACATTTTATCAAAAGAAAACTAAATTTTGAGACACTGCATAATAGATTGCGACGTCGTTAACAACAATATCTGAATACACTTTGTTTGTAAACGACGTGCTCAAAGAGCACGTTACGATCCATTACACAGTGTGTTCCAAAAAAGTTTTATATTAATATATATAAAAAAAAAACAATTATTCTTGATAAAACGTTCTGCATAATCTAGTATTATTACTTTCGTTTTGATTTTAAATATTCAATAACTTCAAAAAAAAATTCATCTATTTCCCCTATATACCACCTATATTTTACAAAGTATGTGATTATGAATTCTTAAGTGTTATACACATGAGAAATAGTATTTTGTTTTAAGTTTTATAAATTGCAATAAACAACAACAAAAAACCCAGCAAGGTATTTATTTGTTGCTATTGAAAATTATTTACCTTACCCTCTGCTTTAGAATTACAGGGACGTTTTTAATACAAATAAAAATAAAAAAATGAACACAACAGATAAATTATCTAGTTATAAAAATAACAGAAAAATGAAATATTCAAAGAATATATGAAAGGTCGACTCGTTTTTTTATTTGAGCCTGTAAAATGACGGGCCACGTGCAGACCACGGGGGACACAGAAGCCCCAGCAATACAGTTAACTATAGTTAATACGGTAGGCATTTCAAGTTTAGCTGGATTCAAGGAGGGTGACGATTTTGAAGTTTTTGAGGAAAGGTTGAAACAATGCCTTCTGGCAAATTTAATTGAATAAGAGAGAAAAGTGGCATTGCTCCTAACGCTAATAAGCGAAGATGTGTATAAAGTACTCAAAAACTTGTGTGCACCAAATAAGCCCAAGGAAAAAAATTTACAAGAAATTACGCATTTGCTTGCAAGTCAATTTAAACCCCGAGTGTCAGTTTATAGGAGGAGGGTTTCCTTTGATTCCCTAAAACAAGGACAGAAGTTGGTAAACCAGTAGTGTTGAACTAAACCTACGGACACTATAGGTTCTTCCGTTCGCTGTTGGTGCAGTGTTCACCAGTGTAAATTACACCAGTTACACCATCTTCTTTACCCTAGTTTACTTCTAACTTATTTCTTATACACATGTCAAGTGTAATTCACTCCTGCTAGATAGCTGGTGGAGAAAATATCCACCAGTGGACACCACATCGCCGACAGGAAGGTATAGTGGGTTTTACACCGGGCCAAACGAAAGGTTTAGTGTACGTTGGTGTAGTTCATTCCTACACCAGTGGTACGAACGAAAGAACCTTATGATACTTTTTGTTTGACACGGTGTAAAATCCACTACACCTTCCTGTTGGCGATG